AGGGACACCTTCCACTAGGCCATGTTGCTCAAAGCCCCATCAAACCTGGCCTTAAACATTGCCAGGGATGGCACAGCCACAGCTTCTTTGGACAACCTGTGCCAGTGTCTCACCACACTTAGAGTATACGTTATTTTCTTAATATCTAATCCAGTTCTTCCCTCTGTCAGCTTAAAGCCATTTCCCCTCATTCTATCACTACCTGCCCTTGTAAAAAGTCCATTTCTAGATCTCCTACAGGCCCCCTTTAGATATTGGAAGACTCTTCTGAAACTGAAGCAGTGGAAGGACTCAGGCTAATCAGACCAGAGTTTGTAGGGTAATGCGTTGATGCCATTGAGGCCCCTCTTACTCCTCTCCGTACAAGCCTCTTCTTTGTTCTCCTTCTCCCTGCTCAGTTCTCCTTTCTACCCTCCTTTTGCTTCTTCGCCCTTCGTCTTCAACCCTTTACCACTTCTATTCCTGAACATGTTCACACACCTGTAGCTGTCTCATCAGCTCTCCTTTTCTTCCCCACTCCCTTCCATCCTGCCCTCTCCCCACCGCCTAGCCCCTCCCAACCTCCTCCTTGCCTTTTCTTAGCAACATTTTTTCTTGCTTTATCCTTTGAAGGAACCCATGGATTTTTCAGATCTCCCAACTTGGTTTCCACAACTGCTTAGAAAAGAAAAGAAAGGACAGTGGTCCAAACCAGACTTGAGGTTCATGGCACAAAACCAGAAGTTCCAGAGTTTTTCACCAAAAAAAAGCTGCAATATATTTTTCAACACTGAGAACGCTACTTTTTTTTCTCGATGATCACTCTCAGGAAAAGTGGAATAGTTTTTTCTTGAAACTTTCCTCAAAAGGAAAGAAAAAAATAAAAAAGAAATAGCCTGAGGCAGATTTGCGGCATGGAAAATTTTAGCCTAAAAGGTTAACAACAGGCAGACTCTGAACAACTGAGGACAGGGGTTTAAGGGAAACCATGAGGCAACCTTACCTATAGGTGCTGCTACCTGCTGTGCCTCTAATTACACCTTTTAGCAATCCTTACCATTGCTGAACAGGGGAAAAAAAAAAGGTGAGGAAAGAGCCTATCACTGGATTTTAATGATCTGAAACACTTCAATGTGTAATAAATTGTAGCCACCTACTCCATGTAGAAAAAAATCTCCAAATGTTTTTTAAGGCTATGGATGACAAGACATCAGTAGTCACCACTGAAAGAAGTTGACTTCATCTCTTTTGACACGTTGCAGGGGGTGGCAGAGGCTGCAGTCCCAAACGGCAGTGCCCACAGGGACTTGTTCCTGGCTCCCTTTCTTTCTGTGCCCAGGCAGCCTTAACACATTATGATGCTTTGTGCATATGAAATAATGTGAGGATGTGGATGTAGGGGTTAACTTGCACAGCTAGGCTGGCAGTGTGGGGGGCAGCACACTGAGACCTCCACTTTAGGGGGCATCTGGGGGATGTCAGGGAGGGGAAGGTGCACGGTCAGTGAGGGAGTCTGCATGTAACTCTGTGTGTGTACACATATGGGAGGGAGTGTTGTGGGATTACAGAACAGTGTTTCTAATTTGTAGAAACTTAGTAAGCTTTCATAAATGGCTAGTGTTGTATTACCGATACTGAACATACTGTCCACTGGTTCCCTTCTAAAAATGCTTTGATCCCCATTTTGACTTGCACTAGGAGAACTGAGAGGTTTTTATCCTGCAAAAAGCATCGACGAGACAGAGTGGTGCTTTCATAGCATGATAACCCTGGCTTCCATTGCCCCTCTTGGGGTGTGGCATGTGGCACAGGACCTGACAGGATGCTGCTGGCAGCTCGTATATACAAGGGCTAATTTTCTGCAAACCCACTTGGTTTGCAATGCTGCAGAAAGGGTTTGATTTAACAGGAACCCTTGTAAGTGAAAAATAGGAGGGAAGAGACAGGACTGAGAGAGCAGAAATGAGCAGCACTTGGGGAGGCAGAAAAGGAGATCTGAGTCTCTCCTGAAGGAAAGTGCAACAGAGGCCAGGATGAATGATGCCATGGCAAAGGATGTGCAGTGGCAGAGGGGGAGATGACAGTATGGGTTAGAAATATTAACAGATAAGAAGGGAGAGATGAAGCAGAGCTGCTGAAACTGACACACAACTGTCAGTGAAATGGAAGGACTAGGAAAAATGGAAAGACAGAAAAAGGGGGAAACACAAGCAGAGGTATTGATTACTTGTTCTGGAGGGAAGAGAGAACTTAAACAGGACATGGAAAAAGAAGTATTTGCTTGAACTGCCCAGAAAAGCAGCCACTGGGAGGACAGTCTAGTCTGAGAGAGAGAAAGGTGAACTGGGAAGCATCAGGGAAACAGAAGCCACCTGAGCAAAACACCTGGAAGGAAGGATGGTAGTGGCCTGAAAAGGTTTTGCAATAAAAGAAAAATGAAATGTTTTCTAGTCAAACCTGAAAGGATGAGGAAAATTCAGAATGAGGAAACTAAAACTGTGAATAACAGGGAATATACCTTTCTCTATATCCTGCTTCTTTGCAGTTTTCCCCTAAGTACCTGTACCTAGAAAAACAGGAGGGGCCTGAACTTAAGTCTGATGTAATTTTCATTAATCATATCCTTGGAAGCATCTCTGTTCAGGGAAGTGCCTAAGTCTCACCTGGGCAAAACAGACTTAGATACAGGCTAATGTAGAATATAACTTTAAGTGCTTCCCAACCATACCCCTGGATCATCAACATGGTCTCTGGTTTAGCACCAGAACAGCAGCAACACAGGAATTATGCGACAAATACTGCTGATACTATCTGTGCATTGATTCTGTTCTAATGTGCGTATTTTTTTGTTTCTGGAAATGATTGACATTCATGTAGAAGCTGAAAGTTGCTACTCTAGATGATTCCAAAACTGCACTTCTCCTTCAGCTGGTAGAGGCTTAACAACCAATTCAACTTGACAGCAGCATCCTGTTAGCACCTCTGTACATCTGAAATATATTTAATCAATTAATTTGTGCAGTGTCGCTGCATTTTATTATTTATATGGTTTTACATATAAAGAAAGAAAAACATACTCTATCAAAAGCTGACAAAAGATAACTACCTAGAGGACTGTTGCCCATTATTCTTCTATTGTATTTATTCAAATTAACCTGAACATTTACATCAAAAGAACTGGTGATAGCAAAATGGGCAAAACAGATGAGAAAAACAAAACTAAAGAATGCTTAATCCCTTCTTTTTCTTTAGCTGTACATTACTAGGTGCTGCAAGGCTGGTTAATGATCTCTGCCAAAAACAGCACAAAGGCGATATTGTCAGGTCAAAACCCCCAGAGCTTGTGGGATAAAATCTCTGTGGCACATTAAATTGTGGAATTTTGTTGACAAAACTGGGGTAGCAAAGTTCCAGTTTTACAAGATCAGGAAGTGCTTCCTATAGAGGAGACTACTACCACAGCCAACTAGCACCTTTTAAATGAAAACAAACGGGAAAAATTTTGGATGTGCTCAAGGTCAGCTGCGGCTCAAAGCTCCAAAACCAAAATACAGACTAAAACTTTCCTTTTTCTTATTTCCCAAACAACATGGTGAAAAGTTCTGCTTTCATTCATCATTTCTTAACACAATGGCACAATGTCCTAAATTACATCAGTGTACGAAGTGCAATAAAACTTCTGAACTGTGATTTTGAGGCTTAAATCAAAACTCAGATCAGCCATGAGTTTGTTTCCTATGTCCAATCCTGTTGAGAGGGCACAGTCCAAACTCATATACTGAGGGAATGGGAGAACCAACAATTTATGGACAAGAGGATACTACTAAACAGAATGACCCATCACTGTGGTCCTGTACAATAACACAGTCACCAATATATAAAAAAAATACATGAGAGTTGAAGAAAAAAGGTCTTTTAGTTGTAGAGACCAGTTCATTATGCGACTAGGTACACAAGAGATGATATAAGATGTACTACTAAATGCCCTGTAGTCCCATAAGCCCTGAAGTAAGGTTATCTGTCAGTACCCTCCCTTTCCGCCTCATGCAACACCTCGTTTCAGGGGAAGAATTAGCTGTATTTTATTCACTCATATGCAATGAACCCTGAAATGAGTCTCTCTTGTTTCTCTCCTCACGTTCCCATCTCGGTCACTAATGCCTTCTTTATAAAGCTATGCTTTTCAAAGTATCTGGGCACACATGTTTTGTCTTTTCTTCCTTCCACCCATCATGCCACCATCTCTAACAGATTATTGCCCCCTCAGTAACTGTAATGTGCTCATTTTTTTGTTGCTCTTCAGGCTCTCTTTTCTGTGTTCTTTGGACACCTTTCCGAGTGTATCTGTTCTTTTGGCATGTACTTTCTTCCTCCCTTCACACCTTCATGTGCCTCTCAGGTCCTGAGTCTGTGAAAGTCATTCCCAACATACACACTCCATGTGGCTTCCTTCCCTTTGCTGTTTAATCTGGAAGAAGAAACCTGATTCAAAATACTGCCTTGCCACTCCTTGAGATTAATAAAACCTATCTCTCTGCATCTGCTACTGCTCCTTCGTCCAAATTCCTCTCCTTCACAAGTTCCTACATCCCAGTGATTGCCTTCTCTGTGCACGGAAATGTGCACATTCTCTGTGCAAGGAATCTCTCTGACACTCCTTCCCTTGCCAAATCTGTATAACCTGAGTTTTCCATGTTCATCTACAACGTTTTGTCACTATTCAGTTTTCCTATTTCTTCAGCTTCTCGGGGGGACTTATTCCTCCCAGGGCAAAACTTGGCATAAGTTGTCTGAGCATCTAACACCACTGCTGACTTTCATCTTTATAAAAATATCTATTTATTTTAAAGAGCATCTGGGGTAAGACTTTGAAAGGCTCCTCTTGATAGTGAAAGTTATACGACTTTTCAGCAAACAACACAGTAAGTTTGGAACTAGCAGCTGTATAACATTGTTACATTTTCCTCATACAAGAGCAGTTTTAAGGATGCCACAGATGCACAAAACTGGTTCCACCTTACCTTTGACGTGGCTTCTCCCATCCTCTAACAGTGGTACTACTATAGTGTTGTTCATATTCCCAGGTGATCTTACAGCTGTATAGACAACAGGTACAGACTGTACAACCACGGGGATACGGTGCACGTGACTCATTTTGTTGGACTGCAAGTTCATGGGGCTGGAAGGTGGTACTGGATGGATAATGTGCAAAAACTGCTGGCCTCCAACACCAGATGCAGAAGCCACAAGAGGACCTGGAGTTAATACTGACGGTACAGATGCTGCTGAGGATACCGACGTTATTACTGTGGGTGATGAAGCTGGTCGACTAGAAGAAGAAGAAGAAGTAGAAGTGGAAGAAGGGGAGGAGGCTGATGCTGTCAAGGAAACTGGTGAAGATGAAGCTGCTGTAGGGGACGACCTGGCTTTGTTTATTGACAAGTCCACTGGTTCAGTCTGTGTTTGGAAATGGTCTGTAGATAATGAATCCTCCGTGGGGTCTCCCTTCATGTTGTTTAGTAACAAGGGTACAGCTTCCATATCTGGGTAATTGTGGACGTTTGGAGACTGTCGAGGAAGGACAAAAGGACACAGTTACACATGTGGCTAAAGACAACTTACATATCCAATTGCTAAGGTGCATCACACAACTTGGTCATGAAAGCCACAGGATTTGTTTCCTTTTCTCATGTCAGCTCATAGTTTTAAAGGACGAATTTTAAATCACGCTAAAATGCACAGACATGTTGAGTTTGAACAGAATAATAAAAAAAAGTTCTACTCCTGTATCTTGGAAGATGGCAGGATTAAAAACTACAAAATCACCCTATTTCCTTGCATTACACAAAGTCATCAGTGAAAAAAACTTCTGTATCTCCACAGATAACCACTATTTATATTGACAGGACATTTCTTCCCAACATCTATCTTCAAGCTACAGAATTACTCTCTGGTGTTATCTCCAACAGACATGAAGAAATACTGGTCAACCCCATTTTTCAAACAACTTTCTGAATGTTCAAAGACTGTAATTTCTCTTTATTTGTCTACCTTCTTCTGTATTAGGCATACCTTGCTTCTTTCTGTTGTAAGTCAGCTTTAAAAGAACAAGCCTTAGCACTCTCATTTGCCCTTTACAGTGACCTTTGCAGTTTTTCCACACCACTTTTTGGAAGGCAGTGCTTTACACTAACCATAGTCCTTCAGCTCAATGTTTGACTTTTTGCGTTCTGTGTACTTACTGATAATGAACTTACAGGTCAGAACAGAGCCCCATGTTTGTATGGCTGCCCTGTTACAGGGACCAACAGCTACAGCAATTCATTATTCTGAATTAGCACATTAGATTTTTGTTATAATTTTCTTTTATTTTTCCCATTTTAATTAATAACAATTTTCCTGACTTCACAAAATAGTCCTATGATGCTTTACACAAAAGCATAGAATACATAGCTCCTTCAAAGCTGGTTCATCTAAATTTATTCTAGACTGGCACCATCTGCTATTTTTATAGTTTTATTTCTTATTTCCATCATCAAAGAGGTTAACAGAATTTTTGAATAATGCTAGGCCAAAGATAGATTCCTTGAGAAGCTCCTTTGAGGTATCTTTCCAATAGTACATCATACTCTTTAAAAATGTTTTTTTTCAAGTAATTTTCAACAGGCAGAGCAAGGAAGGGAATGCCCATTGATTACCTGGCAGAAAAGACCCAGTCCAGCTCTCAGTTCCTCAGCTGAGAACCTCCATGGCACTGTACTGTAGCAGAGCTCCTCTACAGGCACAGACTCACGCTATCATGTGCTGTAGTACGGAAAATCAACCTCAATAAAAAACATTTGCCAAGCTACTTCAAATCTCAGTTTACCCAAAGCAATTATTCCATATACAGATCTAACAAGTAATCTTTTTATGGTACCGAAGCAGCTCTAAATGCATTCTCTCAATCTCTAGATTACAGTATTTACTAAGTATCTAAAAATATTAAGTCAGAAATATTTAAGCCACAAATATTTTAATTCATCTACTCTAAGTAAGTTAACAGTCAAGCAAGCTGTGAATTTACTTTGAGATTTTTATAATGAACTATGTTAAATATTTTCACGAAGAATCCTGGTTTTGAGTCTAAGCCAAATTTCATCACAGAATGGAATTCTATTGCAAAGGGAAAATAGAAACACTAACATTAAAAATTGCAATAATAACAGCCTAAGTGTGTAGTATCCCTGGCATGCCGAAAGCTGAAATATTCTGGTAGATCCCAGCTATTCAGCTGATTTACACTGGCTCCCGGAGCTGGCATTTTCCCCCATTTGAAAGCAAGAACATCTCTGGTACAGCGAGTCTCTTCCTCTATTCATACACAAATCAACCTAAAACAAAGGGACCCCAATTCATCCGGTCCCTGGACCCTGCTGTTTTGCTGTAATACAAATAACAAAAGCAAAAAATTCTTTTATAAAGACAATGGGAAGTCCTCCTGCTAAAGAAGAACACAGAGTGAAGAACAGGTTTATGAAGTGCATAACCAGCTACAAGTGATAAGGTTACAAAAACCTCTTCCTCAAGAAGGCAAAACTTGTAATTGCCCAGTGATGATCTCTTATTCTTTCCTCTGAAACACCTTAGCCTGGGTATTGCCAGTGAAGAGATTCTGCATTAGGCATACCGTATGTACCATGACAAAGACAAAACCATAAATACACATGGCACAAGCAGACAATTTGTCAACTCTGAACAAGTCTTGTATATGCAATGGGCAAACAGACTGGTTCTGCTGAACTGAACTGACTGGTGGCACAGTGCAGGCAAGGCAGAGAAGGACACCCTGCACAAGCTATACCCAAATCTTCTTAAGACTAAAGGCAACATCTATCTTAAATGTCTGAGAGAAGAAGGATAAACAAGACCAACCCTCATACAAGGGAGATGAGGGATACCCTTGTGCGAACAGCTGGCAAGGGTTACCTAGAAGCAGTATAAATTGCCAGCTCCATCCAGAGGGCAGATAATGTGCCACAGAGGAAATCCTACATGTTGCTATTCTTCCAGGCTTCCCCTGGGTGCCAGAGGCAGATTTCAGGTTGACCCAATGCTGCTGACCCAGTGTGCTGAAGGATTGAGTACCCTCCTGTTGCTGCCCCCACTGCTTTTCAGAGCACTCTCAAGTGCTCTAAGGGCACCACAGATTTATGTACCCAGTGTAAGCACATCAGACTGCTCCCAGGACTCTTGTGACTTCCAGGATGTGTCTGAGACTTTTCGCAATGGATCCACATGGCCATTGAAAGCAATCCATCACCAAACGGAGCACAGTCTGCCCCAGAGTCCCACACCTGCCTTTGCAGCAAGCAGCATCAGGTCCCTTACAGGAAAGGTAAGGAAAACCACCAAACCACCACATAGCTGACACCATACAAATTACTTGTTCCGCAGATAGAGTCAATTGTCTCTGAGACAAAACACAGGTCATGACCTACAGATTTTTCTTGATTGTCCTAACAGGCCTTTGTTTTCCTATAGTAATTACACCTAGTCTTTTGGGAATAAAAAAAAAAAAGAGAAATAAGTACCACGTAACTGCAGTCAATCATATAAATCCCTTTCCCTTTAAATAGCTCTATTGCGTTTACTTTTGCACTGTACATTTCTTACATTGCATCTATCTTTTGGTAGATATCCTGTTCTTGTCCAGAGGTACTGGAGGGGCTATGCAGTCTCTATGTACTATGGTACTACAGTTGGTAGCACTATTTCAGTCTTCAGCAGTGAAACTAAACTTGAAACCTCTACAAACCCCTTCATGAATTTCTCCAAACAGGATGAAAACTGGTATGTCCTTCAATGACCTCCCTTCCCTGCCAAAACTCTTAAGACTAAGAATGCCCTTTCTTTAGTAAATTCAGGCCGTGACTGATGTCAGTCAACATTACAAAAGACAGCAGGATCCTTATCAAAACAGGTTTGTACATCCTGTACTTCAGATAAAAATTGTAAACAAGTGTTATATTCTGTGCTGGTGGTTGTGAACAAAAAGATCTGCTCTAACAACTCACACTCCCTTACAGTGACCTACAAGTGGTATGGATGATTCTTCACAATCTCAGGTTTTATTTCAACTGCCAAAGTTCTATTATCTGAATCGAAACTTTGAACATTAAATTATCATTATTTTCTGAAAATGGATGACATAAGCAAACCTTTCCCAACGGCAATGACTATATCAGAATTAGGAACTACAGGACGAAGAGTAGCAATGAAGCCAAAAGAGAGGGCTCAGCATACTATTTCTTAGAATTTCCCCAGAATATTATTAACTGACAATTAACTATTCATTTCCCTAGATGATGAGTGTTGATGTTAGTTTTATTTAATGGAACCACATGTTTTCTAATTCAGAAGCTCACAACAGCTGGGATATTCAGAGGTATACTTCCAGCCATTCTATCAGATCCTAAAGTCAACTGGATAAAAACCAAATGGTTGCATGTTTTTTAATTCTGTCTTTCTATTCCTGCCTTCCCACCCTCATCTAATTAACTGGGCTTCTTGTGGTGTGGGCTCAGCTGATTGCTAACTTGAGCATCTGAAATGGGTTTTCTGGTCTGGCTACCAAAAGTATCCATGTTGCTTTTGCAAACTTCGTTTTGGTTTTAGGAGTCTAAACTCTGTTGTTGAGAGTCTGGCAGCTTTCAGAGCATTTGGTGGGTTAGAAAGGGTTCAGCCTGAGGTCCCTGTAACCCAGAGGGCTGCCTTGGAAACCAGCCCAGACCACGGAAATACAACATGAGGGGGTATAGCTCCATGTGGCTTCCCTCATCTCAGAATGCAGGAGCATCTGTACTGTTCCTGCCACTGCTACGAAGGACAGGGACAGCTTTATCCTTGCCTCCATCCAGCTGGGACTCAGAGGCAAATCTCATTAATGCTCCTCTCTGCAACAATGCCATCATATCATGCCAATAATCCTGCTCACCATCCACTCAAATCCAGGCTGAAATGTAACTGGAAGGCAGGTTAGGATGTCTCCCTGCTAGAAAAGGCTTTTTAATAAACCTGCAGCCTCTATTAGTCACTGCTCTTGGATCACGTTTTTTGTGCCTACTCCTTACAGCTGTACACCAGTATTCTCTGCAGTGCTCTGTTTCATTAGCTTGCCATTAATAAACACCGCCAGGAACATAACACGTGATTTCCCTATTCACAAAGCTGTTCTTGGCTGTGTAAAAAAGCATTCCTTACTGCCCTTTTCCCCAACCATTATGGAAAAACAGTCAGCCACAAAACCAGCCACAAGACCATGAGAGATGCATGGTAAAGTTATAGCCAATAATGTCTTATCTACTGGATGGCCATCCTTTACTATACAGTTCTACTTAATCTTCTTTCCACCCCCTGAACAACACCTCTTAACTTAGGAGGGAAACTTGCAACAGCCCCTTTCATGGCAATCATCTTCCCTGTTATCAGTATTGTCCCCCATCCATAACTAAAACACGAAGTGCTCATAGTTTCCACAGAACTGAGGTTAAAACCAGTGAAAAAGCAAAGATCATTTTGTTTCCAGC